GCAAAATATGATTTAACAGTTTTATAATTTTAAGATCTATCATTATATTTATTCACACACGAGGATACGATTCTTATGATATTATAATATTTTAAAGATATTTTGTAACAAATTGATCATGATATTTTATTATAATTGATTAAGATATTTTATGATAATTTTCAATTAAACGGAACAATATATATTAATATATTTACAATTGCACATTGCCTTCGTTATATAATTATTCGTTCTAAAACATCGGTTAATAACATATTTTATTTTCGCGTAATGTTTACACAGTGAATTGAGCTTGCGTGTCGATTTAATGGAAATATGCTCGCGATGATATAACCAGTATTGCGGTCTGATCGTTGGTCGATGATCATCATTCATCATCATCATCATCATCATCATCATCATCATCATCATCATCATTATCGTCGTCGTCATCGTCATAATGATGACGACCTTGGACTTGATCGCGATACCTCGATCGCATTTGTTACCGATCGGTAATATCGCACGATTATCAACGCCAGATTCATCGATGGACGAGACGATTTGCATAATCGAGGATACGAGCGATCATCCTATTTTTAGGATTACATCGTCTGATCGTAAATATAATAGGATGAAGCTACAATGGAGATACATTGGTTGAGAATCGCATAATATAAATGGATATAATATAAACTCGAAGAAATTCGATCTTTTATCAGTTTTAACGATACTTCGTTACTGCACAACTGCACAAGTAAAGTCTCGTGATATATTGCCGTGCGATTAATTCGCAAGGACGTGTTTGATATCACGAAGATTAGCCTCCTTGTTTTTTTTCGTTCCCGCAGATGATTAAATTTGATATATCTATTTTTTTTTTTTTTGTTTTTTCTTTAAAGTTTTTCCGTAATCTCTTAATTTAACTACTTTTTTAATCTTCTTTTTTTCTCTCTCTCTCTCGCTCTCTCCTGCATTCTGTCTGAACTCGAAACGAATCAACAGTAATTTTTCTACGCAGTAATTATTTCCATCGAAAGTAAATAAAAGTTGGTAATATCAGAAATGGTCGATTCTTTCTGCCTGAGAGCGCGGTAAACAGGGTTATCGGGGAAGACTCGCAGACTTAAAGTCTGCCTCGATTCCTTCGTTATCGTTGCTGTTCTTTATTCGGAAAAGGGGAACGCACGAACGTAATTGATTCCTTCGAGATAAATTCTAGGAAAGAAAAAAAAAAAAAAAATTCTTCTGGTAATAACGCGGATGAAAACAGAGCCATTCTTCCGATGATCGGATCGCTTCTCTTCGCGCGTACGCTTTTTCATCGTAGTATAAAAAAAAAAAAAAAAAAAAAAAGGTAAAAGATTCGATCAAATAATAATGATAATACCTTCAGATGGATACACTAGAAAATAGATTAAAACAGACCTCGACTGGGAGATAATCGTCGAAATTTGTATTCCATCCCGCGTTCTATCGTTCGTTTATGGCGCACCGTGTTCGCCTTTTGCATAGAAATGTCGAATAGAAATTTCATCATTCCGCGTATAATATATAATTGCAACTCTCTATTTAATTTCGCTGTCCCTACACGTATCGCGAAATGATGGCGCCAAAAAAAAAAAAAAAGAAAAAAAGGAAAGATCAACGGATAAACGGGGATACGCCATTATTATTTTGCAATCGATATACGGGAATAGAAAAATAAACGAAAAGAGAACGAAAGAGTGTTTTCGCGGAGTACATCGCGACAGATGAGCGTCGCGAAGGGTTCAAAAGTTATCGAAACGCTTTGTTTATTGCCACGTTATCGAGCAGGTCGCAAAAGCGTGCTCCGGCTATCTTACTTCTCTCTCTCTCTCTCTCTCTCTCTCTCT